TTTTTATTGAATTTACACTTTTGCGAAGTTAAACAATATCAACACCTGTTTGGTTCGAGTCCTGCTTGCACAACTACATGAAGATAAGTTCGTCTATGTCATTGCATATAACTGATAAGTACTTTAAGTGACATTATGACCAAATAAGAATTAAATGGTGAGTGTTCAGATAAAATCACAATTACTTACATTTTATCATATTTGTTTCCAAATTTTATAATCAACGTCATCTGAGTTTTTATAACCCTATAATTTACATAAATATCTAAATATATCCTTTGGAGACTGTCAGTAATGATCATCTTATAAAAAGAGTGAGTCAGTCGTTTTATATTTTAGGCTGTTTTCATATTTTATCCTAAACACTTGTCGTTTTTCATTTATTTTTCAAAAACCATTAAAATTGTCAATCTTTCAAAATATAGAACTTATTTATTTCAGTTTGACAGTAAAAAATAAACATAATACAACATTTACAGTTTTTGCTTAAAAAAAAGCTTAAATTTTTATTTCTATTAATTAGGTTTGAAAATGTATGAATATTTCATATTGCTTGCTGTATATATGTGTTATTGATTTATTATATGTAAAACAAAATGTCTAGATCATCCTTATATTCGTCGTTTATTTCATGTCAACTTTAATATGTATATGTATAGGAATGGATTAAATTCTATGAATACTCGTATTAAACGAATATCGGAAAGAGTTATCAAGTGATAATGTGACGAGTCTTATAGCGTTTTAGGAACAACTGTAAGTAAAATTTATATCAATTGATAACGAAAGTCTAGATTTGTTATAACACATGCTATTATGTAACCAGAAAACGTCTACAGACCGATACTCGTTGTTATAGATGTCACTTTCTTTTAAATATTATAACAATATAAATAACAAAGTGATGCTCACAAGGTCCTTGATATCCTGACCATTTAAAGTAAACACATTAAACGTGTAATATAAAGACATGTAAAATGATAATAATATTTCAAAAACAGGCGTCATGATTTTATATATGTATGTTAGACATTGAAGTACCAGTATGGTAATATATATAAATCAAAATCAAAGTTGATTTTTTTTCTTTTCATTCACAAGAAAAAATACACAAACGTACAAACAAGTCCGAATAAAACGTACAGTTCCACAACAACTCCAACATCATTTGTTTTTAGAAATATCCGGTAATTAATGCTGCACAGCGCAGCTCGATACACATTTCAAGCCCTTGCAGACAACACGAAGTATGTACAAATGTACCAAAACTAAAACAACGAGAAACAGAATGTATTGAATGGAATTAGTACATATAATATCCAAGTGTCCATTGAAAGCCGATAAAGTTTAACATTTTAAATAAAATACGGCTTATACTCACAACCCATGCAAGAAGAAATAGTCCAAATCAGTTTTGCATTTTGCCATATTTTCTTTCAGATTCATAATTAATTAACATAAACGATAAATAACTGACGTTGTTCAAGGAAATGTATATTAATATCCAAGCAAAACTATCTTTAACGTTCATCTTACGAAAAGGGAATGGGGCATTCTTTTTATAATTTAGGTATATTTTTGTTTTATGCTTAACATTTTCCAATATCACTAATGACAAAAATGAGAATAATGTCACATAAGTATTAGATTCTGCAACACTACCATGGCTTTTTGCGTAAGAAGAAACCTAGGAAAAATGAAAGAAATATACAACAGTATAAACAAAATCGTTTATAGAACAGTATGTATTTTCCATTATTTCGTGTGTTTTACCACGGACTTAAATTTGTAATCAAAGTTGTACACGAACGTAAAACAAAATAAAGAAAAACAGAATCCTTATAGAATAGATAAATACAGAATCCCTAAAGAAAGCCTAACACGGCAAATTTGAAAATGTTGCAGGCTCGGTTTGATTGAGCCTGTTCATGGACGGTACTGGAAAGTGCAAATTACCGTCCACGCCCCCTAGCACCGGCTTAAGCAGAATTCAACATTTAAACATGAAATAGTAAAATTTTGAATTTAGAAACATCCGCAGATGTGTTCATACGGCGGTTATCATGGAACCTTCAATGTGACACTGTAGTGCCATTCCATGAAAAGCGGCGTATGGTCCCCAAGTAATAAAAAGCGTGTGCCCTAAACGAGAAAACAATGGGCGGAACTAAATAAAATGGAATTTTGAAAGGGGATCAGAGGTTATGAAGCCTGCGTATCACAGATAAGACGTCAAAAGACAAACTTAAAAAGCAGGCAACATATCCTAAGGGTGATTCAACATTATTCAAGTAGGAATATTGGAACCACCCAACTAGAAATGCCGAAAAGTTGAAACTAAAAATACCACAAGCACAACAAATATGTCGTGCTGAACGATCTTCAAGAACGCCCAAAACAGCAACATTAAAAATATAACAGTCTCGGTTTGATTGAATCCGTAAATGGATGGTACTCTGGAAAGTACAATTTTTCATTCGCATCCCATAACACAGGCTTAAGCATAATATATACGACGGGGATCATCGAACTTTCAATGTGACACTAAAGTGCCATTAATGAAAGGGGCACATGGTCCCCGAGGTAAAAATAATTCCCTTGCCCTTTATCACAGATAAGACGTCAATGGACAAATTCAAAAAGAAGAAAACATAACCGGAAAGTTGATTCAAACGTATACTGTAACAATCCAAGTTGAAAGCTGTCAAGTACAACAAGCAATCGTCAATTGACTCAATCTTCTTGCAAACATTGATTTTGTGTACAGTACCATAACTTGGTAGAGATTATCTGTGCTTCAGTGGTAAGGCGCTGGACATAAATCCAGGTTTGCAAGTTAGATCCATCGCTTATCCAGTAACGAAACTATTATCTTAAAGAAATTGCAAAATGTTAAAGTTGTTCTAACGTTCTTTTGTATGATATAAAGTCAATACCACAAATATTGGAATTTTGTTTTTATTGATATGGATTTTATACAACAAATCAGCTTAGTTATACGGAGCAGAACATATGTCTGGCAGCGCTTTCATTAAAGTTTTATTCTTCTGTCCAAAATACTACCAACTATTGTCTTTAATAGTAATTAAGTTATAGACTTTCTTGATTATAATACATGTTATATAATCCACTTTCATTTGGTAACAAACACCTCGAAACACTGTCGAATAGTCATGTTTCATTAGTTATTCGCAATAAATATTGTTAAAATCTCATCGCTGAATTGTTGTCACCTTGTATTTTCCATGTAGTTAGTACTCTTTATTTTAACACTTGTATCATATTTAAATGTTTGTTGGCTCTTGATACAGAATAATTGAATCAACGCCAGCAATAAGTAATTTTCTGTCAATGATATACATTTAGAAATTTTCAATACTGATTGAAGGAAATTACGCAAAATGTTTTTTGGAACCACGTTTAAGGCCCGTTTATTTCAAGAAAAGAATACAAAAATACAAAAAACATAATAACTTTAGCATTTACATTGATACGTAATTTAAAATAAAAATAAATATATTTTTATGCCTTTAGTCAGGTATTATATCAGAATATATAAGACATTTTTAAAAGCTAAGAGGTTCATTAATTTATACAAATACTTAGGAAAGGGGGCAAAAGGATTAAAAAAGTAAATAAACTGCTGTGGTAGCATTTCTCTCTGCATGTACCTTTTTAGATATCAAACAATTCGATTACATTTATCCAGCAATTTTCAAAGTCTTCTAATTTATCATTTTGTAATGCAACATATTTTACAATAATATTTTTCTTTTGATGATACTTATGTCTAGAGTTTGTTTCCATATTTTACTGGTATAAATGTTATATTTTGAGAAGAGAAAAATATATCATGGCGTTTTTTATCTTTAGCATGAAAGAAAGATGTAAAATTGTTATACGTTACATTTATTGCTATTTCATTTAGCCATTTGAATAGATTATTCCAGAATATTTATACAGTTTGACAGTCTCAAAATAGGTGCTCTATACTTTCAACATCCATACAGCAATAAGAAAAACTACCTTTAATCTTCTTGGACACAAAGGTGATTAACCTTTGACAGCAGTAAAGACCCAGGCCAGTCAGCATGCACATTCGTGGAGTCTGACCAGATTCTGCTGCTGGAAGTTTTGTATTTCAATGATTTTGAAGTCTCTAATTGTTCACAATAAAAACAGGGCAAATCAAGGACACACATTAATCATATTAAGAGTTGATATCGTTAATATTGTATTCATGTGATTGAAATCATATGACAGATAACGTATGAGATAACAGATAAATGATTTTATTTATTTTTTTTATTCGGAGATGTTTTAATATGTTTTACAATGAATTCGAAACGATAATTCAGTGCCGCTTAGTGATTTAACTGAATGGAATTTCCAAAGGTTTGAAAAAGCATCGTTTAACAAAATGGCAGAGAGTGGAAGTAAAATCGGAGAGGAGGATGAAAGTCCAGGTCGTGTTAAGGAAAATTTGTGTCAAGCATGTTTAAGTAATGCTAAGCAAACTGTAGCTGACAAGTTTTGTTCAACTTGCTATGAATTTCAATGTAACGATTGTTCAAATGTACACAACGTGCTCCCAATCTTAAAAAGTCATAAATTGGTGAGCGTGAAAGAAGCTAATTCTACTAGTACTTTGTTTGAAATGAAGACCTTAGATATATGTAATCAACATCAAAAACGTTTTGAATTCTTATGTGAAGATGACAAGAAGTTTTGTTGCAGTAGTTGTGCTTTTGTTAATCATCGAAAATGTCACAGCGTTGTAGAAATTGAGAAGATTGCCAGGAAAATGACGTCATCAGGTTCTGGCTTAGGGAAGAAATTAAAGGAAGTCCGAGAAGCTGCTGAGGGGGTTTCAAGACATATTTGCTTTTCAAAAGATCAACTTGCTAAAGATATAAAAGAAATACAAATAGAGGTGAGACGAATGCGAAACGAAGTTATGAGAATGTTTGACGATTTAGAAGATTGCGTGACCAAGAAAGCAGAAGTTCTTCAAAGAGAAACATTACAAATTTTGGCAATGAAGCAAACACAACACGAGAAACATTTGGCTGATGTAACATCATGCTTAGAAACGATTGAAAGTATTTTCAAAAATGGAACTCCAGTACAGAAATATATAGCCGAACAGAAAATGGAGAGTAAAGTCAATGCTTTCTGCAGAAACATCAAGGAGGAATATAAGAAATTAGAGACGGTGAACATTTCTTTTCAATTTGACGAAACATTAAAACTACCGCCATTACCAATCATTGAATATGTTCCAGGACAATTACAATTAAAGTTTAATTGGCAGGAATATGTTAATTCCGTTGACAAGGCAATGATTTTAAAGCCAATTTCTGTCATTGATTTGAAAAAAACTGAAGATGATATCTATGAACCGTTGTATACAGGTATAGATTTCCTACCTGATGGTAGACTGGTGGCTGTGGATAACAAAAACAAGAAATGTTTTGTGTACAATGAGAAGCTTGAGAAAGTAGGATCATATCAGCTATCTTACACACCATTATCTGTTGTTGTGGTATCTGAGGAGGAAGTAGCGATAACAAGTGAGTATATAGAATTTCTACATGTAAGTAAATGTAATGAAATAAGTTCAAGTAGGACATGTAAAGTGAAAACGAAATATGACTCTGTATGTTTGAAAGATGATAGACAGTTTGTAGTAGGGACTTGGGATGAACCAAGACCTGTTCGTATTTTATCATTGACAGGAGAGGAGCATGACTTTAGTGTTAACTTTCCAAACAAGACATATCCTATAGACTCAAGCGCTTGTACTTACATAAAAAGCAGTGACAAAGTGGTGATTACAGATCGATACGAGCATACTGTCTACATATATGATATTAAGACAAACACAAGAGTCGTAGTGAAAGATGATCAGATACGACAACCACGTGGTGCAGCAGTTGGTCCTTTTGATACTATCCTGTTGTGTTGTCGTAAAACAAATATCATTGTACAGATATCACAAACAGGTCATATCTTATCATCGTACAAGATAGATATGAAATATCCGTGTAAAATATGTGTTTCTTGTGATAAATTATTTCTTGTTGTTACAAATAACTGTCTTGGAAAAAAGATTATGCAGAAATTCAAAATATCAGCATAACAGCACCATGTTCTTTTTCACGTAAAAAATTTACACAAACATTCAAAGTTATTGAAAATGAAACAAGAATTTATCGGTTACATATGAAGGATGGATCATGGAATTATACTTATGTTCTAGCACCAATGTAGCTGTTTATAAAGAAGACAATCAAACAAGACAATATGCTGAAAAAAGTGTGTTTTTTTCAAAATGTAGCCAATGTATGTATGCTATGACAGACAAATTTATCATCGCTAACATCAGGAGTAAACAATTCTTTATAATTAATAATTTCATTTGATATATTTATTTAATTTTAGGCACACGCGCATTAAATTTATAATTAATCAATAAATCGACACATTGATTTTTTATGTACAGAATTATTCCACCCGAGTCTGTAAATTTTATGTAATTTATTGTGATAAATGCTCCGGAGGAACACCCTTTCTCTAAATTTGTATTTTGCACGTCATTTATGTAAAGCAGTTATGTTCTGTACCATAGCTATCTTATTTTATTAATCATCATATAGTGTTGACTTTATTATCATATATGAGTTTTGTAAATATCAATTTGCCGAAGCTTTTTTTGTTCAAACATTAGTGATATAGTGTCACTACCTTATTTTAATATCTTAAACTATTCTGCCTTATAAGAGAGTGATCATATCCTGCCTGACCTGAAATTGATTAGCCTTTGCCACAAGTATACAGCCAAACCAGCATGTATTGTTTGATTTTATTAACCTGTCAATTCCATACTGATTATACGGTCAATGCACAGAATATATTAATATTCGATAAATGTTCGGTAAATTCCGTGAGATGAGCGCAGTAAGATGCGATTAAATTCATTTTGTTATTTTGAATTAGTTACACTGGCCGTTATAGTGCAATAGGGTAAACCACTGGTATATTTTTTCTGAATGTTCAACGTGTTGTAGGATCGAGACAGAGTATGTCCAGTATTTTTTTTATTCATAACTATTTTCAACATGTTTTTTAAGTTATGGTTGTTCCGTTTTTAATATGTTTTACACCTTTTGTAAACACTATACATTTGTATATAACAATTTTTAAGAATTAATACTGAAAATTCATTCCGATTAAAATCAATAAATGTGACAATTCAGTGTTTCTTAGTTGGTTCATATCAGTGTAGACAAATTGCAAGCGCCTGACCATTTTCATTAAAATATACTTGAAAATAAAGAAATAATAAGTCTAAAAAGAATGTCAAAAAGGGGGGTCGAACCTCGGACCCCTCATGCATTAGGTAATCACTTAACCGACTTTGCTATTGCGGATGTTACAAGAACCTACATTAATCTAGTGAAAGTTTTCCAAACGTAAGTGATATACTCCAAATTAATTCTCGTAAAATAAACGGAAAAAACCGAAGTGGGATCGAATATGTAAATTAGTGCTATAATGTATTCATAATTGACAGGTCAATAAAATCAGACTATACATTCCAGCTGTCTGACCAGCCTATTTACCGTTGGTAAATCAAACAAACATGCTCAATGTTTCTATTCAATTATTGAAATCTCTTACACAAGAGTCGTATTGAAGGACAATCAGATAAAGGAGCCATGTACTGCAGTAGTTGGACCTTCTGATACTATCCTGTTATGTTGTCGTACGTCAAACACTATTGTGCAGATACCCCAAACAGGTCAGTTCTTATCAAGTTAGATATAAAAATGCCGTGTAGTGTGTATGTGTGTGTGTCATTTTACAAGTCATTTTCTTGTCGCAAGTGCTTGTATTGCAATTATGAAAATGCAGAAATTGAAAATATCATAGATAATGATAGGGCAATTTTTTTACATAGAAGATAACGTACAGACACACGAAGTTGCTAAAGAATGAAACAATATTTTGCGGAGACAAATGATGTATGGCTTTTGAATGTGTACAAATCCAAAACGCTGTGATAAAATTAGAAGATTGTTTTGTTGTGTATTTTTTGCACCTGTGCGTTACATTAAAAATTTACCATTTAAATGACAGACAAAGCGAGTTTTGGTCCTTTATTTAGCACGTCATATATGTGAACTACATCACGGTCTAAATGAACTAAATCATTTACCTTTACATAATGTTGTCTGCATTATTATACTTATATCAATTTTCAATATTATTATTGTTTTATTCAATTGTCATCTTTCATATGAAATCTTTTTGTTCTGTCTTGCTAAACACAGTATATAGTCAAATTATGAAAATACGATCATTTAAGTCGTAGTGAAGGAAGTTTTTATCATCGTACAATGGCTGAGTAGTGTGTATATGTCACTCGGTAAATAATTTCTGGCTTTAAAATTAACTGTCCTAGAAATACAAAAATACAGATAATAAGATATCGTAATAATAGCAGTCAAAAAGATCATCAAGACAATTTAAACAAATAAAGTACAAATGTAGTTAATACTTGAAACAAGATTTGGACGGTGACATAACTATGAACACAGATACTATTTTGCTCATTGTCTGAAAGTTCATGTTCGTACACACATACAATTACGCAAATCAGTTTAACATTGTTCATTATGTTTTGATAAACAGATTAAGTGTAACAAACACCTGTTTGCTTATTTCAGTTTTATCATTATTTGAAACTGTTGTTTTGTAATGGCTTATTTACTACAGTCCATTCACTGTATCAGGGACTTCTATATTAAAATACAAAAATGGTTACCAAATGTATAGAACCTGGTTAGACAGACAGTAGGTATGTACAGTTTTATCAGGCTCTTTACTAATGACAAAGACTAATCTCTGTCAGTTCCAGCTGGTGTATGGTTAAAAGGGTACAAATGTATAGTACTGTACTTGATACATTATGTCATAATAAAAAAACAGTTTTATAATTATTGTAAACTTTTACATGATTATGTATTGTTTCTTTTCGGTATCAAAACAGTATCTATTATCAAGTATTCATTGTGTTTAATCAATATGAATAAAGGTATCTATCCATGGTTGATGAAGTGTTTTGCGTTTTATCTCCCTTTTTAATGTCAAATTACCACATCTGTTTATACTATGAGATAACATTTGTTCGATTAGTTTTTTTGAGTTATTAGTACGTCTTTGCTTATAACATATAGCGATCACTTTTGTTTTAAGTAATAACAATTGAAATGTTCAAACAATAATATATTTGTTTCTATTTTGAACCGTTGTGAAACCAAAAATTTGATAATGGTGATTGGTGAACAAAAATTGAGGGACTATGTTTCTTAGACATTCTCGTTTGACCGGCAAGTTGGTTTGTATGCAAAATCAAAGTAAAATACATATCTACTTCCGAAAATGCTTAGAACTTGACCTATCCTTGAAATTAGAGAACCTTCGTGCATAACGGATCTCGGTAGTTTGCAAACGCATGTCAGCAGCGTAGAGCTCATAATTCCCTTTCGGACAACGTCTCGTACAACGTGATGTGTGCATTAAGCCACAAACTTTACGATGAACTGACTTTGTTAGTGATCGCACTGGACTTACATTTCAATGCCATATTGAATATTTGGCTATTCCTGGCCTTTTTTTGCCGAAACATATGTTTTGCTCAGACTTATAAATATACACGAAATAGCTCACTTTTTGTGACAATGATTTGTGCCCGATTGCAATGAATTGCAGTCATGCTTAACCCATTACTTCATGAGCATTTTGTGAAAAATGGCTGTTTTCATTTACAAGTTCAAATTAGTATAAAACGGCCTTTGTAACGACATGTTCAGTTTTAAATTTCCTGTTACCATGGCAACAAGGGGACATTCCAAAAATTGGCAAAAAAATCGCTATTTTGCGTTGATTTTTTCCGTCAAAATTGATTTCAAGGTGCTGCAATTTCTCAATGGATTGATATGGAGTCAAAGGCTTTTCAGCGTTGGTTATACGTTACCTTATGATCGACCAGGGGTCATTTTAAACCTCTAACAAGTCCAAAAATTTTCTTGGCGATGAGGGGGACTACCGCCCCCCTTCAAACCCCCCAAACAGAAGGGGGCACATCCCCCTTCTGGCAACCCCCTGGAGTTTCTTTTAAATAAGGGGCGGCGCCAAAAAAGTGGTCACTTTTTAAAGCAGCATTTCTCAAACACCCCAAGTAATGGGGGCGTAAATAGTGGTCAGATTTCCACCAATTGAGACAGCAAAAAGGGGGTTGGGGTGAAAAAGGCGTTAAAAGGCTTGTGTATCTGGTAATGGGTTAAAGCAGAAGACCTTAGCTGTTATGCAAAACAAAACATATAATTTTCGGCGCACCATTTCTGCTACAGTGATCATTGTTTCAGAACCATTAGAAGCCGTTCCTTGCAAAAATGTTCGCATCTAAATTTACCTTGAAATACACACGAAAACGCGAACATTTATAAGATACACTTTGTGACATTTATTTTCTCTCGATTGCAATCAATCGCATATATTCTTAACGCAGGGGTATTAACTTTCTAACAAGACTTGTTATATAATAATCGCTGATTTATTGCCGTCACTGTGACTATTGTTTCACAGCCAGTTGAATCTAAATTTCCGTCACATTTGTGCAGAAAATGGAATTGTCGAAGTAATAGAAACAAGTATATTCTGGCAAGGCAAAACTCATACGTCTTTGTGTGAGACATACTTTCAATATTTCCAAAAAAAAAATATAAAAAAAATGCAGACGACAAAATTTTGTCATATGAATTCGCGAACGCAATTACAATGTATTTGGTAATGTTTTCGAACTAGTAACATGTGTTTTCTTATCTGTTTTATTATCATACCTTTTATCATGAGCAGAGATTACTTATGATAAGTTGTGTGATTAATCATCATCATCATCATAGTCACCATCATCATCATCGTCATCATCATTATCATCATCATCATCATCATAGTACATATGATTCATCCCCATAACGTGTCATAATCAATACTATAAAAATAGACATTTTATTCACTGCTAACATAATATATCTGTTATAATGGATACGTAAGGAAGTATATCTCAGACAAATC